TTATTTCTCCACATCCTCTCCAACATTTGTTATTACTTGTCCTGTTGATTATAGCTATTCTAACAGGTATGAGATGGTATCTCATTGTGGTTTTGATTTGCATTTCCCAAATAACTAGCGATGTTGAGCATCTTTTCATATATTTGTTGGCCATTTGTATGTCCTCTAGGGAGAAGTGTCTGTTCAGGTCTTCTGCCCATTTTTTTTATTGGATCATTTGTTTTTTTTGTTGTTGTTATTGAATCTTATGAGTTCTTTGTATATTTTGGATATTAGCACCTTATCGGAGGTGTTGCTTACAAACTCTTTACCGTGTTGATGGGTTCTTTTGCTGAGCAGAAGCTTTTTAGTTTGATACACTCCCATTCGTTTAGTTTTGCTTTTACTTCCCTTGCCTTTGAGGTCAAATTCATAAAATCCTCTTTAAGTCCCAGGTCCTTGAGTTTAGTTCCTATGTTTTCTTCTATGCATTTTATTGTTTCGGGTTTTATATTCAAGTCTTTAATCCATTTTGAGTTAATTTTGGTGTGTGGTGATAGACAACAGTCTAGTTTCATTCTTTTGCAAGTGGCTTTCCAGTTTTCCCAGCACCGTTTATTGAAGAGGCTTTCCTTTCCCCACTGAATGTTTTTGGCTTTTTTGTCGAAAATTATTTGCCCATAAAAATATGGGTTTACTGCTGGACTCTCGATTCTGTTCCACTGGTCCGTGTGTCTGTTTTGCTAACAAATGGCAATATTTTATCTTTTTTCTGAGCTACTGTGTGTAATGCCACAATGAATATAGGGATGCAGATACCTTTTAAATTAGCATTTTCATATTCTTTGGATAAACACTCAGAGGAGGAATTGCTGGATCATATGGTAGTCCTAGTCTCAATTTTTTGAAGATCTTCCATACTTTTTCATAGCGGCTGCACTAATTTACCATCCCACAAATAGTGTGTGAGGGTGCCCTTCACATCCTCTCCAAAATCAACTAAAGAACTTCTGTAAGGCAAAGGAAACCATCAACAAAACAAAAAGTCAACCATCTGAATGGGAGAAGATATTTGCAAATGACACATTCGATAAGGAGTTAATATCCAAAATATATAAAGAACTCATGCAACTCAAAGACAAACCACCCAATTAAAAAAATAGGCCGAGGATCTGCATAGACATTTTTCCAAGAAAAATATACAGATATGACCAACAAGCATAGGAAAAGATGTTCAACATCACTGATTATTAGGGAAATGCAAATCAAAACCACAATGAGAAAACACCTCACACCTGTTAGAATGGCTATTAACAAAAAGACAAGAAATAACAAGTGTTGGCGAGGATGTAGGAGGGACACTTTTATCAGATTGTCTTTCCTTTGGGATAGTTGAGAAAGAATGGCCCCAGATAAATATTCAGATAAGAAACTAGAGAGATCAAAGGTTGGAGCTGCACTCTTCCAGCATGAACGAGCACGAGCACGTGAATCACCTGGAGATCCTGTTCAAATGCAGGCTTTGAGTTAATGGATCTAGAGAGTGAGAGCAGAGCTGAGAGTTTTCATTCCTGACAAGCTCCCAGGTGATGCTGCTGGCCATGGAACCACGTTTTGAGTAACAGGGAACTGAAGCATATGGTCTTAGAAGGCTTAGGTGGAGGTACTACTCTGAGCAAGCCCCTTGAGCCTCAGGTGGAAGGTGATGAGGCAGAAAGAAGAGAGAAAGGACTCAGGCAATTAAGGGATGAGAAAGATAAGCTTGACTCACTTAATTTTGCTTAAGGCTCTTCTTTCCAGGGCAAAGAAGAATAGATAAATAGATGTTTAAGATTTTCCACTTTATTTTTATATTCTATTTTATTTTTTGATTTTATATTTTACATATATTTTAAAAATATGTACGTATTTTAATTGATCATGTAGTACAAATCCAGTGGAATCGAGATCTACTTGTTGGTCCTTGGTGAAGGTGTTAGTTGTTGGTTGTTAAGTTTTTTAAACATGATACTGTGCTTCCCAGACTGAGATACCTAAAGGTATGTCTGGAAATGCATCCATTTGAAGATCTCAGAAGAAAAAAATTGTTTTCTATTAAATAAACCTGTATACCATGGAGAAGAATAAAACATGTGGATAAATTTTAATGAATCCAAGGGGTTGTGGCAGTGGCTTCAAGCTATGTTCTCACTGTCCTGTCCCAGGTTTTCTTCTGCAGATAGGAACGCAGCAGTGATGAACAGGGTTAAGAGATCGTGACTGAGATAATGCCTGTAAAGCAGGAAGCAAGTGCTCTTTTCTTTTTATTGTTGATTTTCTCATTGCCATTTCCTCTTTCTTTAGTTCCTTGCCTTATGAGGTTGTTCCTGGCTTCATTTCTATCTCACTGCTCTTGATTGCCCTTCCCTCTGTACAAATAATCATGTGTTAGTTTTCCTCCTTTTCTCTCTCTTGCTA